TCTCCACCTTGGTGATCATGTCATTGAACCCCACGACATTGCAGGATTAACTGCTCCCGTCCGTACCTTTTTCTATACATTTTGTACATATTCCCATTTCAACAGAACACTGAGGACAATTACTATTGTTAAATCCTGGTTATTACTATGTGGTTAATTTACTCCAAATTTTATTGACTTACTGGGTGAGCAAATGAATATTATAATTTAAGCCTTTTAATATATCAGGACCTAACAATACAGAAATAGGGGCAATTAACACATTTTATTCAATAAAATATCCTACTTTCCAAAGATGACAGTCAAAAAGTCATATTTATTCTGTGTTGCTATGGCAGAGTATAAAAAGAAAACTGTATAAACTCTAAAATACTTTATTATTAGAAACTGATCTAACAAGCAAAATGGAGACAGACTCATAGATGGAGAGCAGGCTGACAGCTCAGGAGGGTTAGGGGTGGAGGGATGGAGCAACAAGGGGAAAGGACTCACGAGGGGGACAGCAGCGTGGTGACCACAGGGGTGGGGGCTGTCAGGGGGACAAAAGGCAATGGAAAATAATAAAATTAAATTTAAACAAAAAACTATAGCTGTATTGTTTCAAATGCAGTCAAATTATGTTTCCATTGTTCTGTATATTCAGATAACTTAGAAACACTCTTTCTGGTTTCTTAATTCATTATATACAAAGGAAAGCAAACATTCAAATAAGCTTTTTCTCTTTCCTGTTAAGCAACAAATGAAGCAAATAATTGAGAGACTAGTAGCTGTCTAAGGAGATTAAACAATCGCTTAGCTGAGCCTAAAAGGTATAACTTAAAGACATTATGACCTCAAGAAAAAAATTTTCCATGCATTAAATTGTTAACTTTAAATGATATATTTATTCTCTTTTAAGTTTCTTAAAGCAGTGACTTTAGAATTCCAATTTTTTCTAGATACACTGCAGTAACTTTTAAGAAAACTGTGTGATTTTTGAGATAATTTTCTTCAATATATTTAAATATAGACCATAAAGTTTAACCAAGGGTCAGCCAATTTTAACAGAAAACTGGAAAAATGCCAGGCTCAGTTTTCCAACCCCATCTAGCTGTGGGTTTAATAACATAGCAGTAATTTTATAATCTTACTTAAATTAAGAATAGGTAATAAAGTTTGTTACAGTTTCTAGATTGAAAACAGAGTAGGCCTGTTCAGGACTCAATTTACTGTTAGTCTTGAAGAATCAAATTTGTTTTTTAGACATCATCTAATATAGAAATTTACTACATAATTGAAGTGATATTTGATATTAAAAGGAAAGGCACTTTGCACTAATAACTTACATATTTTATGGATGGAAAAAGTTATTTAGACATGCAGGCTCAAAATAAAAATATAGGATAAAATAAATATTTAAAATGATAAAATATGTAACATAAATTACTAACAATCCCTTGAAGAAAATGTAGTCTCCTGATAATCAAAGATAAAAATACTAATTATTAGGGAAAACATCCATTTTTTAGAATTCTAACGTGAGGACTTGCTTATTGGGTCTAGAGAGAGAGGAAGGGAGTGAGAAAAGAAAATGAGAAACATCAATATGAGAGAGAAACATTGACTGGCTGCCTCTTATACTCGCCCAACTGAATCGAACCCAGAACCTAGGTGTGTGCCCTGGAGATCAAATCCACAACATTCTGATGTACAAGACTAGGCTCCAATCACCTGAGCCAATGGGCCAGGCTGGAAATATCCAATTTTTAAACTTTTGCTACTTAGTTTACATTCAGAACATTGTTTGTTTAATCATCCAGCTTACATTACTGATATTCAAAAGCTCATTGACTCTTGATTCTGAGATAGCTTGGGAGATTAAAAAAGCCATGTGCATGTAATATAAAAACTTCATTACAATGCACATTGGTTCAGAATTCAAAAGTGTTTTTTTAAAATGCTGGTATCTGATTGTGTCTTAAAACAGTGTTGATATCTAAATGTACATACCTGAGAAAAAAGGAATCTAAATTTCACAGATAATTTAGCAAAATAACCTTATTTTATATCAATACCTTTGTTTCCAATCATTAAACAGAGAATATTCTTAAGGAACTATAGCAATTTAATTGTCTAGAATGTTTTTGCCTTATCATCACAAACTGGTAGATAAGAGGACCTTCAAAAAAGTTATACGTTGAGGTTATTTTGCATATAAAGATGTTTCATATAAGGGTTCAGTGTAAAGTCTATAGTAGTGGGGTCAGAGAAGTGCTCTTTCTGTTCTTACCCTGTACTACACACATCACCTTCTGGTCTGCATTGCAGAGTGCACAGTCTTTACACTTTACTGAAACATCCCCAAGAGGTATATCAAAGTTTCTCTTCCATGGCAAAATGTGGTGGTTGAATAGCATTACAAATTAAAATAGGGCATTATAAAAAAGCATTCTAGAAAAATATAGTATTTATTTCTGAATATAAAAGTAAATCACAAGAACAAAGAAGCTGAGAAGAATGCTATATCAAATAAAGAGTTAGCTTCAAAAACTGGGTAAGAGAAAGGGATGTTTTCTGGACCATGGTTTATAACAGCAGAAATATGTTTTCCTCTGGAGGATACATGAATCTCACAAACTTGGAAGAAGAACATTAGCAGCAAACTTACTGATCTGATTAAGAAGACTAAACTAAGACCGGAAGTGGAAGAGAAAATGTGAAACAGTAAAATAGGTATTATAAAGGACAATTGTTTTAAAATAAAAACAAGGCATAGTGAAAAAATATCTAGAAATTATGTTTTAGAAATCGTGGCTTGGAATAATATTTAGGCCTAGAGTATATAGTATACTAAATAAAACTAATGAAAATCATACACATGTTAAGTTCTTAAAAATGTACTCTTTTCTTTAATCCTTACACAACACTGGCAGGTGAGAGTAACACTTGCCACAGATGCTTGTGCAAGGAGTGCCATGCATAAGAAAACCTGGCTTGTGAGAAAAGCAGAGAATGTATTCCTCTCTATACTCCCATTGCTTGAAAGGTACTATTACCTTTAATTTACCAGGTAGGAACTCAGGTTTATGTATGTTTAGAAATCTGCTCAAGATTATATAGCTGACAAATGCTAAGGCTAGATTGGCTAGAATTGAAAGCTGGATGTGTCTAGAAATTACAATTTTAGCAAAACATACTGAGGGGAAATTTATATATGCATATGCGCACATATATAAATTATTATAAGATAATAGAGTAAAGGTAAATTACCTAATTTGTTCACAAGGAACAACACAGTGACACAAAATGTGCGTCTTTGCGTACTAGTTTTATCATCAGGCACATAAATACCTGAATTTAGAGACATGCTCATGTTACTGAAGGAAAATCAATGGGAGAAACTATCATTGAAAAATAGCACAGCAATACTGGCAACATATTTTACAGAGGTATTTATTAATAATGAGTACAAGATATGGACGAGAAAGAGCAGCTTTAATTAGTTTGAGTCCTCCTTGAAGGGAGTCTAATTCTGCCAATATCTGTCTGTTTGAGAGGGACTACAATGGTAACTATTTTCCGTTAAATCCGAATTACAGAGAAAATGACTTGCATACCCAAAGGAGACATTGGGAACAAAGGTTTTGAGGAATGGTGGAGTAAGGGAAGGGACTGGTGAAGAGAGTTGAGTAAACAGTGAAGACATAAAAACAGTCAGTCCTAAAGCACACAGGAAGCCATGGGCAGTTACCCAGATAGTCCAAGGAAGAGACAAGAAAGAAAGTGAGAAACTAAAGATGAAATTATGGCTCGGTCATCTTCTCTATCAAAGCAAATTATCATAACATTAAAATAATTTTGACATAGATTTGGAATTTACTTAGATTTAATTAGGGGCTGAAGCAAATGAGGGCTTATAAAGAGAAAGTTTCCACATGACTCACTGCTGTCCTCTCTATTAGTGACCTAGGGATACTGAGACAAGGAAGCAGTGATTATGTGGATGTATTCAATAGGAAAACATTTCTTTAGATTATTAGACATGTTGGATGAAAATATTCTATACAAACTGTTCCTTAATTTGAATGAAGTATCTCATACAGTCTTTTATTATAACTTTGTGAACCAGATAGAAAAACATTGCTTTCATGACTGTACACCGAAGGACACTGCTGATGGTTGATGAGTATTTCTCCACACAAAACTTTTTTCTACTGTCTAAACTTAAAATGCTATTCTGTGATTTAGTTAAGGTGTCGGGAAGCACACTTTACAAAGCTGTGGATAATACAAAGTTGAGAGGCAAAATATCAGATAAATCTTCAAAATAAAAATGTTTTGTTATGCTGAAACAGTCAGCCCAGATAATACACTATGTAAGAGAAAACAATGTAAAGATCTACATTTAAATTTTAAAATGTCATTTATATACAAACAAAGTTTAACATTGGTACATTTGAAAAAATATACTATTTTCACATAACCTATAATCTTCAGCTCCTTGAGGAAATCATACTTGATTATGTGTTCTCATCTTACTAAAATAGCTTTATCCTTAATGCATATTAAATTAACTTTAAATAGCAAGTTTCCACATGACCCACTGCTGCATCCTATATATACTTCGAACCACTTAAAGTAAAAAATGTAAGTTTTCTAGTTTCTTACCAAATAAGACAAATAATTATGCAGCGTAGGTAAGTCTGAGACCACTTCAAATGTTTCTTTCAGAGCAATTAGAACATGTAATTTCTATAACGAATCTAGTGGTGAAGAATTTAGAAGGCTCAAAGGATGTCACTTTAATATGTCTGCTGTCATAGAAAGATATGCATAAATTAATTTCAAAGATTTATAAATAATTAAGAACAGCTCTGTGTAGAGGGATTTTATCTTTCATACAGAAAAATATATTATAAAATTGATGCAAAATAATTAAAATAGCAACAAACTATAATAGTAAGCATGTCTTCATGGAGGATCACAAATCAAAAAGAAAAGCCACCAATTAAGTTCCTCACCTGCCGAATACCCAGCCGGTATGCCACAATCCGATCCACTGCATCAGGATTCATTTGAGTCCACTGGAGACTGTAGGAATAAACACGGTGTCTGTTTTGCCACACAGGATTATAGGTGTCATAATAGAATTCTGGAGCGTAGGCCTTTCCTAAAAACAGAAAGAGTGCTTAAATTCGAATGATGACATATTACAGTTAAATATACTTTATCTTTTTGTCCCTTTTCCCATTTTCCACTATGAGTTCCATAAGTAACTCTTGAATTTGAAAAGTCATGTTATGAAAATCTAATCCATTTTCTGGAGAATTTTGAGAATAGATGCAAGAGGATTCCGTGGTTGATTAGATTAGCAATCTGAGAGGAAGGAAAGAATAAAGGATAATTACAATTTTTTTACCTAAACACTGGAAGATTGGAATTTCCATAAAATGAGATTAAAATTTGGGGGAGGGTCAAATTTGGGGCAAGAAGATCAGGAAGCTATTTTTGAACAATTTGAATGATTTAAAGGAAGATATCCAGTGGGCTTTACTAGTCTAGAATTCTGGAAAGGCCAGGGTTGGAGATATAATCTTCTAGCCAGAGGCACACATATGTATTTTAGATGGAAAGCCCTGAGAATGGAGATATTATCAAGAGTGTGAGTGACTGTGGGTCAGAAAACAAGGTCTGACCACTGGCGCAGTTCAACGGGAAGAGATGTGGGAAGAGATAGGACCACAAAGGCCTGACACCAAACAACTGGTAAACAGAAGAAAAATAAAACGATGTGGCATCCAAGAAGCCAAAACAAATATGTCAGCAACTGAGTGATCCAGTCTGTTAAAGAATTAATGAAAATAAAAAATGTTGTTTATATTACTCATGTTTTTAGTTAATAAACTTGAAGTCATCCAAACAAAACATAGCAATAATACAAGAACTTTGGTTAATAATAAAGTTTTTATTTTAAGAATATTTGATGTGCATATAACATATATAACATATAGAACATTTCTTCCTTTTGTTTGTCAAACTGAATAGCACACAAACCATTTGAAATTATAGATCAAATTTCCTGATATTCTGAAATGTAGATTTTTCACACATCCCATTTTTTTACCAATATTACATTTAGTTATTGAATCAATGATATTTCGTGAGAGCCTATTAAATACTAAGTAGTATACTAGGCATTGAAGATAAAAATGAATGAGGAGTTATGGCCTCTGTCTTCATAGAAATTATGTACATTTCTCAGGCTTTTCAAATAGCTTTCTAATTCATATTGGATGATAAGTTAATACATTTTACATTTATCATCCCTCATTCGACAAACTTTTTTTATTATATTAAATGTTAAATGCTCTTCTGGATTTTTCCTCCTTTTGTTTGTGTGCAGAAATGTCTCTTATTTGGCTTTTGATATTTCTTCATTGAGTCAGCTGTCATCTAGGGACTGTAAACTAGTTGATTCATAAAAATTTATCATGGGCAAAAAATATATTTTGAACACTAAGAATGGAAATGAAGGTGTTTGTTTTTCTGGAGAGAATCACAAGAAAAAAATAATGTGAAATAAAATAAATTTAATTTTTGACAAATTAAATTAGTAGCAAAATTAAATACATTGAATTAGATATCTGAATTTTAGTAGCAATTGTAAAAGTAGCAAATGTAAAATTCTGCACATTAAAAATGTTCCATAAGTATCCATTCAGTTGAGTTACAATGCTATACAAATAATCTTGCATAGAAATTCTCTAGAAAAGAACCATCACATTCATTTCATTACTTCTTTATGTCATATGATACTGTCACTTATTAAATGATAGCACAAATTCATGTTCATAAGAATAAGAGCAAAATCTAGGTGAAAGAAAAATAATATATTGCATAAGAAATTGATATCCAAAACACCATTGACACCTGGTATTTAAGACCAGATTTCCCAAAATAATATTTTAGGTACATTTTATTAATTATGCAATTACAGTTGTCCCATTTTTTTCTCCCTTTTATCCCCCTCTACCCTGTAGTCTCCCTTTCCCCAGCACTCCCCTCCCTTAGTCCATGTCCGTGGGTTGTACGTATAAGTTCTTTGGCTTCTCTAGTCCCTATACTATTCTTAACTTCCCCCTGTTTATTTTATGCCTACCAAATTATGCTTTGTTTTTAAGGAGGCACATTTAGTAGTAGCTTAAATAAAGAGCAAGGGATTTTGATAAAAAATACGCTTCCAAAATTCATACATGAAGTAATGAGCTGCTTAAGTGAGTAATTTGAAAAAACCTATAGTGTTTTCATTGGAGAGTGGTATCTAGATCAAATCGAGGTAGGAATCTTAATGTTTTTTCTTTTTATATATTTGTAAGGGAAAGAGAAGTTGCTTTTGTTTTTTAATCAAGGAGAAAACACAGGGGTATTAGATTTAGTTCTAAGCAACATTTTTTAAAGTAAATGAATAGTGCATTTACATAGAAACAAAGAGAGTATAGAGTCACTAGAGGCTATTTAGCATGGAAAAGAAAACAGACCTTCTAAAAATGGGCAAATGAAGTTTTCTAGGAGTTGAAACTATCACAGAGAAGGAAAATCAGACTAAATATTAATCATATTTATGGAAGAAGATGAAGACCACTGAGTGACTTTTAAAAGAAAACGTATTTAGATTTAGAAATGTTCTACCAATCCTCTCTGAATATGGATTGACTTACCTCAGTGGATTTTGATTGCCCTCTGTTTAGAGGCATTTAGTCAACACCCAATAGCCATCCAGCTGGGCTGAGATGAATGACTGCCCCCAGGACAGCCATTCAGTTATCTCTGTCTCACACCTATAGGGCGCTATGGAATATTGGCCTTAAACTGTATTATTTCCATTGTTCTGAGCATACTTATTTATAAATTCCATTTCATGTTTCTATTATTTTCAGTCTAATCTTATTGTTTGTTGACTGCCAGGAATATAATTGGCTGAATGTCATAATAAACGAAAATTGTGATGCTTCTAGTACTAATTGCTTTTCTAAATATTTCAAGATTATTGATGCAGCTTGACCCTGACATATTTTTTAAAATCTTTATGACCTTGTTAATAATATGAATTTGTTTATCGAGATCTAATTTCAAGGTAGTAAAAGACTTAAATGTTAGACTTGAATCCATTAAAAAATCCTAAAGAAAATATAGGCAGTAAAATCTCAGACATTTCTTTTGTAGCAATAGATTTTCTGATATATCTCTCAGGCATTGGGAACAAAAGGAAAATAAACAAATGAGATACATCAAACTAAAAAGTTCTTGCACAGCAAAGAAAACCATCAACAAAGTGAAAAAAAAAACACTGAATGAGGGGACATATTCAGCAATGATACATCTGATAAGGGGTTAATATCCAAAATTTGTAAAGAATTTATAAGACTCCACAACAAAAAGAGAAAAGTAATCCAATTAAAAAATGGACAAAAAGCCCTGAACAGATCCTTCAAAGAGGACATACGGATAGCCAATAGACATATGAAAAGATTCTTAATGTCACTCATCATCAGAGAAATGCAAATTAAAACTATAATGAGATATCACCTCTCACACCTGTCAGAATGCCTATCATCAATGCATCAACAGACAGCACATGCTGGTGAGGATGGGGAGAGATGGGAACCCTAGTGGACTGCTTGTGGGAATGTAGATTAGTGTAGCCACTGTGGAAAACAGTATTCGGTTTACCCCCAAAATTAAAAATGAAACTGCCTCATGGTCGTCGATTCCACTTCTAAGAATATACCTGAAAAAAACCCAAAACATGAATTCAAGAGAATATATGCACCCCATGTTTATTAAAGTACTATATACAATAGCCAATGTAGCAGCCTAAGAGTCCATCAGCAGATGAGTGGGTGAAAAGCTGGAATATTACACTGCTGTAAACTGAAGAAAACTTTAGCCGTTGTGACAGCATGGATGGACAGCATTATGCTAAGTGCAATAAGGCAGTGAGAGAAAGACAAGTACTATATGATTTCACTTATGTCTGAAATCTAAATGACAAAATAAACAAAGTAGAAGCAGATTCATAGATACAGAGAACAGACTGACAGCTGTCAGAGGAGAGGGAGTTGTGGGGATGGATAAAAAAGCTGAAGGAATTAAGCAGAAAAAAAAATCATAGACACAGGCAACAGTAAGGTGATCGCCAGAGGGAAAGAGGGTAGTGGGAAGTAGAAGAGAGTTTAGGGGTGATAAATGGGACTGGAAGGAGACTTGACTTTGGGTGAACACACAATACAACATACAGTTGATGTATTATACCAATGTCACTCCAATAAATTCAATACAAATTAAAAAAAATTAAACTACAGTCCCTCATTTAAATCATCCAAATAGATCAGGTTATAGTGTAAAATCCCATCACCATTTTTGTGTTTAATTGCAGCCTGTTACAAAGGCTTTCCAATGTATTTTTTAAAAATACTTTATTTTGTCTGCATTGACATAACATTATTACATATGATTGATATCATATGTAATCACTTTAATAGAACATTATATTAGAAAATAATGTAGAGGTGATACATTCCAATGTCTCTTACAACAAGAAACTATAAATAGTATAGAAATGATATTGATACACAGAAATTGATATAAATAAATAATCAATTGCAAAAGGACCCACTTAAAATTTTGACTTTGATTCATGAAATTAAAAGAAATATTTATTTTAGTTGAATAATTGTGCCACTTTTGCATTAAAGGTGAAAAAATGGTTTCAGATGATGCATAAATAATATCGATTAGAAAAAATTACTGATAAAATTTTGGAGTAGTGATAGTTACATATAGATATGTCAGACTATGTCTCTGAGCATAATTTGTACTAAATCTCTTTTGGATAAAAGAGATTTAGTACAAATCTCTTTTACAAAGAAAAATGTTCTAATTGTGTTCGAGAAATTCATCTTAAAATTTGAAAAACAAACTTCGCTGATTTCAAAAAAAGTCATATTTAGTGCTTTTATTCTCATTTTGTAAGAAGCTCACAGTAGTACTAAGGATATATATCCTTACAGTAATGCTAGGTCTTACAACCAAACATGATACCTGCTGGTTGAACAGAAAAAAAATCATAATATTCTTTCCTTCTTTATCCTCTGGGTCTTTTTGTTTTTC